GAATAATAAGGCAAAAAAGCTTTTAAGATTGGTCTAGATGTGACTGGCTGCTTATGCTTGATATTTGTTTTTATAATGGTGGTCCATGTCAAGCACATTAAAGATAACACATATTTAAGGGAATATAATATACAGTGAGAAAATACCTGTATATTTCTGTATATTTATATATTTGACTTACAGAGAGCCACTCAAACTCTCTGGTCTTATACAGACTGGACCAATCACAGCGCAGAAAATCACAGTTGCACCAGAATGAACAATAGTGTAGCAGCACTTTTTTTTTTTATAACCATAAAGATTGTGGCTGTGGAGTGATGTTTCAATAATGTTCTATACTCGTTCAACTGGTTGCTGTGAGAGTTTTTCTTATTAAGAAGAAAAAAAACAGCTTTTGTGTCACAAATGCTCTTACCTGTGGCTTTAAGTTATTTTTACTGACCCTGTTACTACTGCCCTGGTCTGGCCTTTGAAACTGACCTACCTGCTCCTCTTCAGACTTACACTGTGTATGTAGGGTCAGTCAGCCTGGCTGGCCACGCTTTACTGACAGCTAAATCCTCTGCCAAGTCTGTGAGCATGTTGTAATGACCTTTAACTCCAGTCTCATAAATTTGACTGTACTGTATGTGTTTAACCAAATACGTTTTTACCCATTACTCTTTGCCAAATCTTTTCATCCCTGGGAGACTCTTTAATAAACATTTAAATTTGCTCTGCAACATATAATCAGTATAGAAAATAATTTATTCTATTGTGGGAACGGCTAAAGTAAAGATGAATTGTTTTTGCTGGAGGTTTATCCTTTAGCAACAATCCCAAGGCTTTTTTTTTTTACTTCTAAAAGACTTTGTTCTAGAAATGTCTATCCTTTAGTCCATTAACTTGGAGCAATTTCTCCAAGATTATAATACTGGAGCATGGTGCAATGCCATTTTTACAATCGGTGCTGGAAGTTATATCAGTTCAGAGTTTTATTAAATCTATTCACCTTAGATTTAGGTTTTCCTGCCACCAATGTTAAGATTAGGTTCAGCTTTGACAGCTTTGAGGGGATGAACTTATACTTAAATATTTAGTTAATTTAGTCTAATAAGTCTACTGATGTGGACTTTATTTTGTGTTTAAAGGGACTTCACTGGTAAATACATAGATGATCAAATAACTAAACAACAGCGTTCAGACGCGTGATGCTGCTGGATGGTGTGTTCTTGGTGATATTACAGTGTTTTTTTTCTCTCATCTCATCTGGAATCATCATTCCAGCGGCGTAGGAAGCGGGGGGGACGGGGGGGACATGTCCCCCCCAATATAAAAGCCAGGTGGATATGTCCCCCCCAAAAAATTGTACCGCAAAATATTAGATTTTGACATTTTTTAACTAGCGTGCTTTTATTTTGAAGGCGCAGCATAGCGTTACGTCACTGTACTCCCCCTCCCCTCTCTGAACTGCTGAGTGAGGGTGTTTGAGCACTCAGAGGGAAACAGCGATACAGAAGTCAGAAACTTGTGAAAGAGGTAAAATGGTCTGTCGGGATGCTGCCTATTTATAACGTCTTTGTTGTCAGTTCACTTTCATATATAGAAACTGAATCTTTTTGGTTTAGTCATCTTAGTCTTGTACGAAAGAGGATTAGGGCCACTGAAAAAAAAAAAAGTTAACTGATTTTTAAATTTTTTTTTAGTTTAACATGGGTAAAAAAGTAAGAATTCTGACTTTTCTCAGAATTCTGACTTTAAACTCAGAATTCTGACTTTTTTCTTCTGACTTTTTTCTCAGAATTCTGACTTTAATCTCAGAATTCTGACTTTTTTCCTCAAAATTCTGACTTTAATCTCAGAATTCTGACTTTAATCTCAGAATTCTGACAGATGATTAATATTTCTAATCAATTTACAGTGTTTTTTTTTTTTTTTTTTGGGGGGGGGGGGGGGGGTACTATACAGATATATAAAAACAAGTAGGTCTAACTAAAAAATAACCAGAATATTTGTTTAGAGTAAAGATTTACTACTTGTACACAAGCACACAATTTCAAATCTGCTGAGCTTGCTGTGCAAGAAAATGTAAAATATACGTATAAAGAAATATAACAGGAAGTACTGCTAAAACAAACTAAATGTTAAATAATGTAGATATTGGTTTAAAAAATTCTTCAGATTTGGAAATTTGGAAGGAATACATAATTTTGAAATTAATCAACAAATCTGGTAAAAAATAAATAAATAAAAAATAAAAGTTGCACTTTTTTACTTGAGGAATTTGTTGAATAACTTCATAATTATGAGTTTAACTAGTTGGAGGTAATGCTACACTTCTCTGCTTCCTGTCCTGCTCATAAAAGGTAAACATTATAAACCCACCATTAATTTTCTACACTATTTGGAAAACACAACACAAATGTAATATAACAAAAGTATGTTTAAAAACAAACATGTTAGCATCAAGCCATAGCCATGTCTGTTTTAGAGACTAGCTCTCTTGTTTTAATGACCTTCTGCTCCTCCATTTATAAGGGGGACCCCTCAGGCACATCAAAAGTTGCCTAATTCTGTAATTTTTCACCAATATGTCACTGGCCACCTCAAACAACTCACATCTTTATCAGTGAAGCTGAATGCTCCACATCTCTACCTTCATGGTGCCCATCTACATTAAGATCCAAAATTCTGAGATTAAAGTCAGAATTCTGAGAAAGAAGTCAGAATTATGAGATTAAAGTCAGAATTCTGTGAAAAAAAGTCAGAATTCTGAGAAAAAAGTCAGAATTCTGACTTTTTTCCTGTATTAAACTGAAATAAAATTTAAAAATCACTTAACTTTTTTCAGTGGCCCTAATCCTCTTCCGTAGTCTTGGGCTGATCACTCATCCAATATTTAACTGCTAACTTTCTCTAGATGTTTGCCACGCTAGCCAAAAATTTTTTTTTTTGTATATATCTCATTTCAGTACATTGCCACCACCAACTAAAAGGCTTAAACAGCAGTAGGACTTACTCAGATTTTTAAAAAAGAGAAACGTCAGTGTGAGTAACAGTCACCTTACACAACTTGTGTTGAAATTAGCCCGGTCTGGGATTTTTTATTTTTTGTGTGGTTTTGATTCGCCGAAATGGACAGATGTTATACCTGCCGCGCTCCTGATCGTTAGTTAAAACCACAGGGAGAATTAATTTTAATTCTTAGCAGCGAACTGCTGCACAACCACTAATTAACCAACTAATTAACTTCTGCACCTTTATTTCCTCAAATAAACTGCTGGCTCCTCTTTTTAGACTATAAACAGATTAACACAACATTGACAACTCTGTAGTTTTCTCTGTTCTGTACTGCAAACTGGAATTAAAGACGCCATTTCTACCAAAGGTCGGGACAGACTGGCGCACCAGCACCTCCTGACCCCACTAAGGGACAGGGTGTACAGAAAATGGAAGGATAGATGGATTTCTACCAAAGATTTAGAATGCGTTTTTGAACCAGATGCTTCAAAGCGCCCTGTCCATAATTCTTCACCACACTGTCAGCTCCCTCTGTCAGTCAATCTATATAAATTCATTTTTGACCATTATTGCAAGTTTGACAAAATAAAACATATCAAACTTTGCACTTCTGTGGCCCACTGAATTGTTTTTAATCCAACTGAAATATTTGATTTTCTAGTGCGTATGCGGACACTAAATATGCCAAGGGCTGAAGCCCTTGAAAGACATCTCCCTTTGCTTAATAAAAGACTCCAGTCATTTTGTTTGGTGATATGCTCACATCTTATGAACAAATGCATTATGTAAATTTTAAATGCATTATTTTTGCAAGACACATTTATAAAGGAATAAAGTAAAAGATTAAATAGCCTTTTTTTAAAGTAGCGTACTTAAGACATGTTTCTGTTGAATATTTACGAATCTCAGATTTCCGACATGTGTCCCCCCCAATTGTAAACATATTCCTACGCCCTTGCATCATTCCATTTTTTGTGAGCCCTTTATGATTGTGGCCAACTGCAGACAGTACTAAACCTGGTATTCTTGCCTTTTTTGTAAAGGCCAGAGTTTTGGATTGGACACTCATTATTGTTTACCGTTTCTGAATGATGCATCGGACAGTGATCTGTAAGATATTAAAACCCTTGTTGCTGTGTTCTTCTGTTGTATAATGCTTGTTCCCCAACGAAACACTGAAAGGGTAACATTTAATTAAGTTGCACACCAAGGGCCTATGTGTACTTATGAGTTGACTTGTGAAGATAAATGGCTGTTTTAGAATTTATAAATTGTATATGAGGTTAGGGGGATGAATACTGAGACACTGTGCACATTATTGTATATATTATACACATTATTGTTTACTGCTCAGTGTGACAGCGGGTAGCACTGCTGCCTTGCATCAAGAAGGTTTCGGGTTCGATTCCTGGCCTGAGATCTCTCTGCATGGAGTTTGCATGTTCTCCCTGAACTTGTGTGGATTTTCTCCGGGTACTCCGGCTTCCTCCCACAGTCCAAAAACATGACTGTTAGGTTGATTAGCATCTCTAAATTCTCTTTAGGTGTGAGTGTGTGCATGAATGGTTGTTTGTCCTGTTTGTCTCTGTGTTGCCCTGCGATGGACTGGCGACCTGTCCAGGGTGAACCCCGCCTCTTGCCCGTAGTCAGCCGGAGATAGGCGCCAGCATCCCTCGTGAACCCACTTGGGATAAGCGTATAAGAAGATGGATGGATGTATGATTTTCCCTCTGCTTATCTTGAATATAAATAATGTATCAGTGTATGCTAAGAGCTTGAATTATTAAAGCTACCATGAATGAACTTAAATCCTTAAAGTTTCACTTAAAGAATTAGAGCATTCAGCTTCTTAAAATTAATGACCATGCGCTTAGTTTAAACCGTGTTAACTTTAGATTTGAATTCTTTGGCTTTAGCCAACCTCAAAATTGCCACTGAATACAGGTTTGATGTTGTTTAAATTAATCTACTTTTACTTTCTGTTATTTTTTTCTTCCCAGGCTTATTCTGTCTATGATGAGGAAATTGGTTACTGTCAAGGCCAGTCTTTCTTGGCTGCTGTTCTTCTTCTACATGTGAGTACATCCGTCACCCATTAGTTCTCTGTTCATTAGCTTAATGATTAATGCAGTCGGAAATGTTGTGTAATGCCCTCATAACCCTGACTATTTAATTTTATATTAAAGTTAATGATGGGTAACGCTGCAAGTGTGAGTTTTTGTTTTTGTTTCTCTGTCCATAGGTGTATCATTTTTTTCCATCTTTCTAAACAAAGGTTTTTTACTTTTTCCAGTGAACTGGTTTTATTTTTAGAATAAAATATTTTTAAACGTTCTGTATGGAAACCATTTAAAATAACTTACTTGATCTTTCATTTTAAGATTAAAACAGCTGTCAATATATTAGAAAACATCTATGGAAGGAAAAATATCTCTGTTTGCACAGGATGTTTGTAGTGTGATGGTTTTACTTTCTAGTTGAAAAACTTGAGAGAAAATGTAAGAGGAACCATTTTTTTTAATCTTGGGTTTTGGTAATGCAACTTGCTGATAGTCCAAGGAAAGACATTTTTTCTATAGGAAGTGCGCGAGTGATGTTTGGTAAAAGGAAACTGTTATTTAGCTATGGTGGAAATTATTTGATGTTCCTACTCAAATGGTTCTAAAGATGTTGTTAAGATGCAAGGCAACAACTGTTTGAAATATTTCCTTTTGGCTGAAAAATTTGTGATACAACCCAGAAACTAACTGTTTCAGCATAAAATGATGCTACTACATACAGAGTAGTTAGTTTTAATGTAATTTCAGTCATCTGCGCAGTAAGAATTTTTTTTAAAAAGGTTACGGTTTCAATAGTTTTAGAAGGGAAATAGTTGTCTAATGTCCTAGCCATCACTTCATTAGTAAAGCCCTTTATGCATAATGTGCAAGTGCAAGATACCTGTTTAAATTTAAGTAAACAAAATGGTCAAATCACGTTTTTCTTATGCAACATTTTTTAGGTGTTATATCCGCTACTATCTTTTTTTTTTTTTTTTTTTTTTTTTTTTTGGTAGTTGTTCATCCTTGTAGCAATGATCGTTGCTCAGTATTTATATGTTAAAATTTTTTTTTGAACACTAGAAGACCACTGGCAGGTTTTATACCAGTCTAAACGCCTATGCCAGTAACTGGGATGCATTTTAAGTTTCACTGTAGCCAGAGTTGTATTTTGTAATCATGTCACTATAGATTTTTCTGTATTCTCTTGTTGGTGTTATTGTGAGGTTCTTCCATTGCAAGTTGATAAAATACTATGAGAGATTTTGTCATGGAAAGACAAATTGAGGAGAGCTGTAAATGTGACTCATGATAGAGGAAGACCCAAAAGGAGGAGAGACTGGAGTGAAGGTTAAAACTTTAAAGAGCAGTGAGACGGTTGGAAGATGTCAAGACAGCTGAGGAAGGAGAGTCATGAGGAAGGGCCCTGACATTTTATGAGAAGACCCAAGGAAGTTATGTGGAGGATGGAGGAGGAAGAGAAAGTGATGGAAGAAGAGACTGTAAAGAACAAAAGAGAAGTGGAGGTAATAGGAACAGCCATTGTAAAAGGAGAAGGCAGACAGGTCGTGGAGGGAAAAGAAGAAGAATTTATAGACAAGGTGTCAGAAATATTTATTGGGGTTCAACTGTACCTGCAGGAGTGCATTCAGCTCCAACATACACTGTCACTTTGATTAAATATCTCCTCCTAGTTTGTATATGTGTGTTTTAAAGGAAAATGAAGCCATTAATACCCTCAAAGACTTAGTGTTACATTTTCTCTTTGAGCTTTATATTTATTAATCCAAACACAAAGAGAGGTTATTTACAATGAATTCATTTAGGGAAAATGCCTTTATGTGTCCTGTTTGTCCTTTATTACCTCCACATTCTAGTATGCGTCCATTTTTATTTTAGACATTGATAGTGTCACCACAGCAAGGATAAGGATATTTTGTCTTTAAAAGTGCTAGGTATTGTATTTAATGATTTTATCCATGTGGTTTCAGATGCCAGAGGAGCAAGCCTTCTGTGTGTTGGTGAAAATAATGTACGATTATGGCCTCAGAACTTTGTACAAGAACAACTTTGAAGACCTTCACTGCAAGTTCTATCAGCTTGAAAAGCTGATGCAGGTTTGTAAGCAGCTCTTTATGTTTTAAAGCAAAAATGTCCCTGATGGAAATCAACCACGGCATAATGTTTAGGGGATAGAAAAACAATCCTACCCAGGAGTAGTATCAGATTTAAATATTGACCAAAGATTGGTAATTAGGACTCAGATAAGTTTTTTTTGTGTTGGATTTACACTATAATGTAGGATTTCTCCTTTATCCTTAACCAAAATTTAATGTTCATTTTAATTGTAGTGTTACCAGGTGTTGCACCATCTGCATTTTTTCACATATCTGTTGCTTTTTCAACTTTTCTGTGTTCACTAAATGTACTGTTTAATATTTAATTTAATTTAGATCATTAAGAATGTACTTTGTTACCTTTTGGAGAATATAATGCATCGTGGTATGTGTGTGACAAAAGCATGTACTGTGATTAAAAACAGTATTCTGTGCCCATGTAGTGTGTGCGTGAGTAAAAAGAGTGAGCAGACTTTTTAATAGCAATCCATCTTTTTAACTTTGTGATCATAAATTTTTATATAAACAAGGATAAAGTAGCTCAGAATAAAACTAATTAATCATTTATGTTTCCTTTCAATTTCAGTTTGAATTCATCAATGTGGAAGATGGAATTAATTCACTCTTTTGCTTAAATGACCAATGAAGAGACCTGCAAAAAAGACAATAGAATAAATTAACAATGTCATTTATTAATAAACAGCAAAGCATGTCAGCTAACTTAGTTATTGTGCTGACGTTAGCTTCATAGCTAAGACTTGTAAACAGGATGTATTTAGCTAGCATGTGTACAGCCTAATGATAGCCTGTTGGGTATAATTTTAAAACATTTACACTATGCTCACTGCTGTTAATATGCTAGTCTTAGCTAAAATGCTAACATAAGGTTAGTTTTAGATTATGGTAACATTAGCTAGTCGCGTAAATTATTTGTGAAAAGGGATAAATTGAAACTAATGTAATTTCGGTTGAACAACCTGCTTAGATTACTTATGTTAAATGATCTTTAAAGGGATCATAGTATGATTATATAGGGCAGAGGTCCCAAACCACCGGGCCACGGACCGGTACCGGTCCGTCGGTCATTTGGTACCGGGCCACACAGAAAAAAGTATGTATGTATTTGAATGTATGTATATATATATATATATATATATATATATATATATATATATATATATATATATATATATATATATATATATATATATATATAATTTATCGACGATCAGAGTCTGAGTGATGTTTTATTTTGAAAAATATAAAAAATTGCGGTATTCTCTCCCAATTACATCAGTCGGTGCATCTGTGCCTCTTGACACAGGTTAATTCAGTTCAAGACTCATCCTATATATAACATCCTATCTTTGTGAAGCTGGATTTTCTGTGGTTACAGCGACCAAAATAAAGCTACGGAGCAGACTGGACATCAGGAGCACACTTCCTGTGTCATTGTCTCCAATTACGCCTAGATGGGACCGGCTTGTTGTTTTATTTTTATCCTGTTTGTATTTGATTTTATGCCAGTCGTATGATTTTACTTGATCGTATTTACCCCCCCGGACCCGGGGGGGTAAATACTTTTTGACTAAAATCCAAATCGTCTTGTATTATAGTCAACTACAGTGCAGCACATAGTCGAAACACACCGGGCACCGAACCAAGCCTTCAGCTCCGGGGCAGGTCCGGGAACCCCAGAGCGACCGGACCGGACCCGGTGACTGTAGTCTGGACACCGACGGCCCGGTGCTTCCCCCGGCCTGCCTTACCGGCCCCCATCCTCCAGCTCAGGATGGGCGGCTCATGGCTCTCTGCTAAGGTCGGGTCCAGTCAGCATCCCTAGTGTCTTACATCTTTGCGACTTCTATTCATGTTCTTGGGCCTGTGAACCAGTGGGCTGCTGTGTATGTAAATTTTTGGGAGTGACAAAAGTACAGGCCGCAACCAAATAAGGCAACATCCCTGAGTTTATGTCAACTCGGCACTTCGTTTGGATTTGCCTGTTTTATGGTGGTAGGTTAGAATTGTGACATTTGCAGAGAAAGGAGGTGTCGATGGGGTTTGAACTTCTCTGTACGTCCATTTCACCCACTGAACTATCGTTATTCACGATGTCAACTCTTTTTTGCATTCTATGACCCCTTTAAAGTTTTGCAAACTAAAATAAAAAAAAGTGCATAGTAATAATGGCCGCTTACCATGTACCATGATTCAGGTTGGTCTTTAATTCAATTTCTCACGGTCTGTAAAATGCAGTGTGATGCGTGGATTCTCTGTTACTTTGGTCTAATTTGTAGACAAAATGTCATTCTTATGTCATTGATATTTTAAGCTGAACCCAGGAGGGATCCTGCATAATATCTTTATATGATAGGAGGGCTGTTTCATTTTACAAAAGACCTTTTTTTTCTGTCCCCACAGGAACAGCTCCCAGACCTTTGGGCCCACTTCCAGGAGCTGAACCTGGAGGCACACATGTATGCCTCCCAGTGGTTCCTCACCCTCTTTACGGCCAAGTTTCCCCTCTGCATGGTTTTCCACATCACTGACTTGCTGCTTTGCGAGGTAAAGGCAGCTAAAAGCGGTATACTTGGAGCATTGTGAGATGGATTTAGGCTGCATTGTATGTATAGAACTGCTTAATGGGAAATTCAACCATCTGGAAACATGAAATCGAAAGGTTAATAGCAAGAAAGAGGTGCGGCAGACATTAGTGGTTTAGCTGCTATTATGGATTTATTAGCTGATTACAAATGGGAAAGATAGAGATGCACAGAGGAAAAAAAACATTGGTCGGAAACTATTACCAGCTCTCTGTGGCCTCAAGTACAGAGTTGAGCAGAAATTTACAAATAACATCATTGGTATACATTTTTGTTTTGGGAACCTTAAATTATGATCTGATTGGATATCTGATGACTCTTTTGATCAAAACTGGCTCAGTTTATTAAATATATTAGGTACAAGCCTCCCCCCTGCCCTTTAGGGATAACCCTCATTAGCAATAGGTCTGAATTTAGGGCTCTTAGGTGGGGATTTAATTATCTGTATTTGTGATCCTTGTCATTTTGAAACATCTAATTCTGTCTGAGTTCTAACAATAAGCTACTGATTAACGGTATAGTATATAATTCTTATTTCATGGCATCTGGTTCTCTCCCACCCCAATGCAATTCACTAATACCATTCCAAAATGTGAAATAACAAACCTGGACTTGTTTTCCATGTTTGAAGACGTTTTGCTTCCCATCCAGAAAGCTTTCTCAATTTCAAAATGTCTGGAGTAGCGTTGAGTTCCAGGCTTATGGAGTTGCCCAAACAAAAGCCTTGTTATGGCTTAGAAAACATGCAAATTGAATAAAAAAATAAGTCAACCCTTGTAATGGGTGACTGTGAAATGGACCCCTCAGCATGACTGTGAAATGGACCCCTCAGCATGACTAGTAATACATTACAATTAGTACTGAGCTAGAACGTTTATAGCCTCATCTGGACTGTTTTAATCATACTAATATTTAGGCCACACAGCTAATGTTAGTCTTATTTGAGGTCTGTCAAAACATATCTAGAGGACATCTAGCCATGCAATTTGATCTGCAACAAACTTTAGTCATTTTCGAAGATCAGCTGGTTCCTTCTCAGTCCATGGCAAAGTAATACTAGGTTCACTGTTGTCATTGAAACTGTTGTATTAGGCTAAGATGAAACTTCTGAAACGGCTCTATGTCTTAACCCCACTGAAAAATTATGTAGTAACCTGCGAACTGAGATTTGTACCATTTAACCATTTGTACTATTTAAACCTGTGCATCTCATGTTTCTATAGGCTTTAAAGGTTCACTCCATAAATGATGAATTAAAGTTCATATCATTAATTCCTTTATTTCTTCAGAAAAAAATCTGTTATTCTACCATATTCCTAAAACTTTGTTTTTAGAAAGGTTCTTTGCACAAACAACCAATATGAAATATGTTTCCCCATCTTCCTGCTGTCCCTATGCTCCCCTCCAATGTCTCCACCTCCCTTCCCTCTTTTTCCTTTTGTTGCCCCGAGGCAGAACAATTAAAGGTTTCCTTGTTATTTCTTGGCCAATGAGCTGCATGATGACAACATGCCTGTAAAACCTTAGCTCTCTGGAACCCTCCTCCTCTTTAGTTTTGCCCTTTTCTTACACTATTTTATTGAACAATAAATTTGCATTATAAAAAGAGAAAGATGAATATTCGAAATGCTCGATCACTTTACTTATTCTATTTTTTCAGCAAAAATCTTCTTCTGATTTTACATTCTTGTTTTTATAATTTTCTTGATCTAAGTGTATACATGTAAATTTCAGCCTAACTTAAAAGTTGTGTTTTATTCAGGATTTCTTTTTTCTATTCATTTAGAAACCATAACCCAAGGCCAAAACCCATTTTATATGTCTTTTTTATTCCCTAGCCTTGCTGGTTCTGCACAATTGGACTCACTTTTGTGTTTGTGAAAACTTCTTAACACACCCATACCGTGTCCTTCCCCTCTCTGCATATTTGGCTTTCATCTCCTCTGATTCCACCTTGCTGGGATGAGTTGGTATTTCTTTCCTTCATACGCTCCTTTGATCTTGGCTCAGCATGGTAGCACCATCTTCAGGCCCACAAAGATCGGTGTGTGGAGGCAGAGCCCATCCTCTTTTCATTTTCTTCGGTTATTTTTGGAGCTCTGCGGATATTTTTAGCTCCATGTTGCCATGTGAACTGGTTGTCCCAGAGACCAAGCAGAGAGGGGTGTTCCCTTGCAGAGCTGGCTTTGGTACATCTTCTTTGTGTCAAAATTAAAAGAACATTCACAGTAAAGAAAGAGGTTAAAAAAATTGGGTTTCACTGAGGTCATGGAGATGAAGCACTGAATGAAAAAAGAAATTGTTTGTACAAGAGTGTAGACTATATATTCAGTACAGATGGGGAAATCCTGCATGCGAAAAAAGAAAGTTCATCTTAATATTTGATTTTTTTACACCTGCTAATGATAACTTTTCAATCAATAAATGAGCACAGTGAAGCCACTTTAAACTAAAAAAAGTTGAAAGTTCTGAATGTGGAGGATGTTGAGGAATATAGGTCCTATTTCTATTAAAGGTGCCATTTATTCATGATGGAAATTAATGTTTTTAAAGCAGAATTTTATCAACACAATTAATTTTCCCACTCTTTCTGATTTTGCAAAATAGATAAAAACTTGGCATGTTTCTATTATGCTTTCCTGACTATCATATATTATCAAACCACAATCACAAGTTTGCTTTTAAAAATGGTCCCTGAAGTGATCTGTAATACTGTAAACTGTGTACAAGACTCTATAAAACTATGAATACCCCCAATTTAGTTCTACTATGACCACTGCCTTTTTAACAACAATGAGTTTTGACATTATTTGGTTATACCTAGGCCTGTCACGATAACAAATTTTGCTGAACGATTAATTGTCTCAAAAATTATTGCGATAAACGATAATATTGTTTTAGGACCTTTTTAAACTGATTTAATGGAAATGACGTAATAATGCATGCGATTTCCTGCCAAAGATAAACACACTTTATTTTCAACAGAACACTTAACACTGGAACTGGTTAACAAAATATAACGAGAAATAAAAATCAAATGGACTTTCAGTCTCTGTTAACTAAAAATACACTTGAATAAAAACTAAACACAAGATAAAACCAAAGTGGAAATAAAAACTACATTCAACCAATAGAATACACATAATGAAGTCTGTATATCATTAGATTTTTAAAAAGATAGGCTTTTCAACAATATTAAATGGGAGCCTCTCTTTAGCACTTAAATGAACTACGCTGTCTGTGAGCACACGCCACTTTGCGCCGTCCCTTTGTATGCTGCCTGTCAATTAATTGCTTCATGGATGGTGGTCTGTTGCGAACTTGAAGACGCAGACGGGCCACCGCTTGTACTTTTTGTCCCCAGCTGGAGAAACTTTGCTGGGTGGTTGTGCTTTAGGTGCATAGGTACAGTAGGTTGGTTGTATTGCTGCTCTTAGTTGCTACTGTTTTATGACAAATAGGACATACTCGCTCGTATAGGTTCAGCGGTTCACCTCGGTTTGGTTTGAGGTTTGAATCCGCAATACTCCCACACTGCAGCTGTTGCATTCGGCTTTGAAACCAGTTCCATTTCGAGTTTTTCCCCCAACATAAGGTGTGTTTTTTTTTACCTCACTAACTCCTCTAACTCCTCATGGGGCTGTAAAGCTGCAGAAGTACAAAATGATGCGCGCTGACTACCTGATGCAATAGTCTCCTCCTTCTTCCCTACTCATTTATTCCCTTGCTAAAAAATGAGGAAGGGGAGGGGTCAGTGGAACGAACCGGAGTTAAGCCTTGTCATCCAGCGTCATCAATAGAAAGAGAAAAACACAGTCAGAGACGATATAGCCGATAATTTATTGTGCAAATAATTGATTTATTGATTATCGCGACAGGCCTAGTTATACCATTATAAAATATTGTGTTATGGAAAGATTAAAGGATATATATGGTTTAGTAGTAGAATAGTCTTTTCTATTAGTCTAATAGCCTAATAGTCTAATCTCTCTATATTTATTCTTATTTAATATGTGTTGTCTTTGCTTCATCCCCAAATAAAATTAGAAAATTCTTAATGTAAAGTGAAATTAAATATTTAAAGAGATTTGATACTTTTGTAGGGAAGTATATTTCAAGTTTTTCAGTAATATACAATAGCCAAAGCATTTTACTACTTATAAGTACCAAGCTGCAGGCATGGTTTAAAATAATCTAAGTTCAAAAATACATAAGATCCATTGTTCTGTGGGTTTTGTATGACACACAGGCAAACTTGAATAAGATTTAAATCTGTAAAAAGTGCTTGGATTTTGTAATACAGCATTTCAGATCCTGTCTCCCGTCTTATTCGTGGAGGTTAATATTCTGAGTAAGTTATTCCATAAAATTGTTTTATATTTTTTTCATATTAGAAGATGAATTTAACAACTCTAAGCCTACAAGCCACAGCCATGGATTTTTTCAAGTCTTGTTTTAGTACATAGTTAAGCTGGATGGAAGCTATTTAAATGACCAAACAGCGTCTAACAACGATTAATCCCACACTACTTCGACCATAAACTCATTGGGGAAAGGGAAACTTTTGTTGATATTGTCGTCTTCTGTTCTACTTTAAAAAATATACAAATGTAGGATATAATTTTTATGAAATGCAATAGGGGCCCTTTACAGCTGAAACGCTGAAATCAAAGTTAGAAAATAAGACAGACTACCCAAATAAGTCTGAAACTCTAATTGCTCAAGTCTGAAACTCTAATTGCATTGAATAAAATGTTTTAATCTTTTTCAAGCCTGCAAACACACAAACATGAAGGTTATGTCTATTTTGTTTCTACCTCCTCTTACATTTTTGTTCTCTGTTTTAAAGGGATTAAGTATCATCTTCAATGTGGCCCTGGCCCTGCTCAAGGTTAGTAATGCATCTATATACATTTATTTAAATCTAACATCTCTTATTTTGCTAGACAATAATAGAAACGCATGTTTTGTTTTAAACCTTTTCTGACTGCATATGCTTCATTTGTGCTCCTTAAAGTTTATGGTTACCACAGACATGATCCTCTTGAAGTCAAATGAAATCAGATTTTTGGTTTCATTATGTAACATTTGTCGCCCCCAAGTGTACACAAAAATAACTGCATCTAGATATCAGAAGAATGTCTTTACACTTTTGCAAGAAAAATTGCAATTTATTAAGAAGAGACTGAAAACAGCAACTTTTGTCTTTTATCTGGCTGCTAATAAAACCGATTACATAGATAAGTTTATTGTCTTTAACCAAAATCTTTTGAGATAGCCATATAAACTGCTGAGCAGGCCATATATTGTTTTAATAAATAGAGAAAAGGTTGTAGCTTAATGCTTATTGTATTATCAGATGTTAATGGGTTGGATTGGATTAGGTGTCATATTTCTTGTCTGTATTTTGCTGTTTGTAGCCGTATAAAGGACATCCTGTTCTTTGTTGATACACAATAAGGGTGTGAAGATACACAGATAGGATGGTCCATTTTATACTTAGGATAAAATGGACCTTAAGAAGAAGCCAGATTAGAACTTACTTGAGCAATGGTACCTAAATAGACCATAGAAGGATAATGCTTTAATGTATTCAACCAGGAGAGTCCCATTGAGATTAAAAACCTTTTCTACAATGGAAACATGGCAAATTGGCAGCAACAATTAAAACACAAAAAGCCAAAAAAAAAAAAAAAATGGTACAGGCCATTGAACCATTCTCCATAACTTTTTGTTTCAAAATAAAAGGCACTCAATGAGATAAGTTTAGTTAATTTAAAAGTTTTCTGCAGCAAGTTTCAGGAGGAGGGAGCTGAGAAAATTGTTAGGAAACATCTGGAAAAACTCCTGATCTGAATTTCTCTGCTGCATTTGGGCTGGTTGAATGAAAGAAGCTGCTGGATTTGGACTTAAGCCTATTTCTTTTAGAATCTTTGATTTTCCTATTTTTTTATTATTATTGTTATGTATTCTGCTTTTTACTTTTATTATGCTTCTCATAATTCTAGTTGAGTAATTTAGTACTTACCTTATCAATGTTGATGGTATAAATCTTTAGTTCAGTCCACTATTATTTTTCTTTGCCGTTTTGTCAGCTGTGAGTTTGGCTTTGTTATTGTTTTATTATAACTGCTTAGCCTAACACATACAAATGCGAGGGTTTTTCCTCTCATTTCCTCATCAATCCTGTATTTTTCACCTGCAGCAGCAACAGTGTCCTATATTACTCTAATGCACAATTCAAAACTTTGAAATTAACTGAAGGGATTTTATGTTAGCTCAGCTGGAACAGGAAGCTAACATCGAGCAGCTTAACCACATATTGCGGTCTTATTTGACCACAGTCATCTCTTTTGGGTAGTAGAGTCAAGCAAAGATGTATTCTTTCTCACCAGTGAACCAAAAAGTCTTTACTAAAACCTTTTCAGTATATGTTTATCATTGCATATCTAAAGCACTGCTGATAGGCAGAATACAATCTGTGTCTCTGTTACTTTTCATTTAATGTCATTTTTGTTAATCCAACTGTATCATTTGCTTCATTTTATCAAATGATATAGTAAAGATAATACAATAACTAGTTATAATTGTGTTAGCTCTTTTCTTGTGAGCTTAGATTCAAAAAGTAAGCAACTGTCTAATATCCTAGATGTGAATTGAAACTCCTGTTTCAGAGAAGCAAAAATATTATGTTAGGTAATCTATCTCTAGCTATGATTAGGAGACCACAATATATTAACATTGTTAGAAATCTTTTTCTATTTCAGAGCCTAATTGTTTTTACCTCAGGAAATTAAAGTGATTTAATTAGACCATAATGAATTTTTGATGAGATATCTGTACAACATAGGCAGATGTTTAAAAACAAAAAGAAATAGATTCCCTAGAGAAAAACCTTAAAAGTATAAAACACCAAATATTAAAAACCTTCTTAACTCTTCAAATAAACATTTATAGAATATATAAACCTACTTGGGAGAAAAAAATGGACATTGAAAAGTAACTTGTATTAACATGAAGTGCAGCTTTATTGAAGCAGTCTGTAAAATGGGCCGATGCTTTACTTTATTATTAGGAAAGTTTAGAGCAAGAGATAAAATGTACCAGGTTGTAAAAGCTGTAAAAATTTTAGAGGTACTAGTTCAAGTTAAGTGATATTAAAATTCAAAATAGTGGTTCAATATTTGGCATATACTGTAGTTGATTAATTTCTTTATTCTCTTTTAAATAATATAATGAAAATTCTGGTCTGGGTCCCGTTTTTCAGGAACAAACTGATGCAACAGACACACATGAAACAAAAACTAATAATGTAAATAAAAGCAAAATTAAAAACAATACAGAGTGAAAAATGCACTATATATTGGAATGCTAAAACAGTAGAAGCATAGATATAAATCCTAAGTATGATGTGATGGTGCAAAGGTTTCTACATTCATGTCAAAATGGACTCTTTGCGAGTAAAGTTGAGATGTTGAGGATGCAAAGATTTGAAATGGGAGGAAATTGATGGATGTCAGAATGGTGAGTAGGAGGAGGAGATTGGAGGGGCTTCCACTGCCTGCCTCTTATTGGTCAGGCATGACGACATGATCCTCCGATGCTCCCTCCTCCTTCCATCCTGCGCTCCCCTCTGCTCCCACCACCCCTCCCTTCAGCTGTGCTCGCTGTGCTCTCTGCCCAGCTTAGCGGTTGCTATCCATATCACAGCAGGAGCATCGACAATAGCATTAGCAATCTGAACCACAGGGGGGAAAAAATCTGTTTTCTGTTCTTTTTTTCCTCTTCATCTTTACCTCCCATGGATGCCTGCTCGAAGCCTCTTCTTTTCCTCCCTTCTCCATTTTCCTGCCTTTTTGCCTCATCTTGCTGTTTTTCCTTATTTACCTCTGCTCTTTCCGGTGATCATTTGTTTCTACCACACGTTACTCCTGTTCACCACCCAGATACCTGCAATGGAGCTGCTCCTGACAGCCATTAGCTTTTAGCTGTTAGCATCACAAAGAACGAGGGAGGAACAGTTCATTGGATACAGTGATGTTTCTTTGCATTGCCTCGCCCCAGCTGCCTGCCAAGACCAACAATTCCGTCAGTGCTACAATATCCACTCATGCAAACACTCAACCATCAGCCTGAGTGGTTCAGAGGTAGAAGTAACTTCCCTTCTGAAGAAGCTGGCTTCATCTGAGAGATCCACTAACTGATATAGACCGGCCGTCTTCTGCTAATAGGATTCTGTTGGAGGCGCTGGAGTTATAAAGCTGGAGCAGCTGACTAAAATATGCTCGAACTGGTTAATCCTGCTTGGATCTGTGCTGAATTCTTATCAAAGCAATAGATCTGTGACGAGAAAAATCTTTGAGGAAAGACCCTGCTTGTTTTCTACTGCTTCATTCTTCTCTTTGTGCACCACTGGTTTGCGTGTGAGTCCAGCACCCACTCAGCCATAAAGTAATGCTGAGCATCATCTCCCGCAGGCTGAGAAGTCCCACATTTCCAGCTTTAACAAACCACATCTCATCTGTCTCTGCTGTGCCGCCTGCCCTGACTGTGCAAGCTTGAGAGTGGATGAAGAGCTGTTTTTGGTTCAGTTCATTTTGCTCTTGTAAGAGGGCTAAACCATATTAAGGGAGGCCTCGTTTCAAAAAGGAAGACTCAGTTGATTTTCTATATCCTTACCCTGAGCAGTAGGGATTTTCATCTCTGTTGACGGAAGGGATTTGAAAATTAATGTAAAAGGAGACATCAAAGAAGGTGGGGTTCTTATCACCGCTTCAGTTTCAGAGCAGCAGCCCACGTGTTGAGCCACTTTGTTGCTAGGCGACAGTGTACTGGACTGGAAGTGGTTGGAGTTTGCAGAGAAAGCTTAAGTGTTGGAAGTGTGACTGGATTTTAGAGGAAATAAATAAACACCTGTAGGACTCGGCATAATGCCTACATGTGCATCAACTCAGCATTTTCAGACTGTGATTCTGAGGCATCAGGGAGCCAAACTGTGGCTTTGACAGTGGCACAAGTTGAGGGGCCACATGTGATGCAAGGGATCTGCCTGCTGAGCTGCTGTGTGAGTCTGGGACACTGGATACCCTTGTTTGTTCTGGTCTCTCTGTCTAATTTCTAATGGACACCAGACGGGGAGAACCCTGAAAGATCTGGTCAACTTTAGCTGATCACACCCCATCATTGCTGTTCCAACATCACCAGGAGACACCCTGGAGTCAGCTGCCAACCTGGCCCCGGAGCGGGACAACCCCTCTCCCCTGCCCTGTCCTACCCCACCCCCATCTCCACCACGTTCCCCTCCGCCCTACCCTCGCCCTATTCCGGCCCTGAACCCCCATCTGACACTCCCGTCAGCATGCAGGGCAATAGAGGATGCAGAGGGAAAGGAGGAGGAGAGCTCCCATGGCAACCAAACTGCAGCGGACCCCTACTGCAGGGTCATGGATCTTCTTGGGATGGGGCACAGACTCTTCGTCCCCAGGCTGCTGGCGGTGAGACAAAACAATTAGGAATACATTCCTGGATTAATATCTTGGAACGTGCATTGCTGATGATATTTTCTACACCAAATTTTGAGAAAAGTATTGCCAAAGATAGACAGCATAAAAAGGCTGCATTTCCCAGACAATGGTTTCCGTTTCATAATTGTATTAACTGTGGTTGTAGGTGGATACATGATAACACGCTCCTTGAACAGAGACTAATTCTGCCTCCTTAAAACATCTTCAGGCTTAGTTTAAAGATGAAAATAAGGCTTCTTCCTTCTGTTTTCCTTTTCATGGCATCTAGCCTTTGGCAACCTTTAAAATCTCCTAGAATCTGAATTCTTCTAACAAGAATAGGTGCACAATTGGACAAAAGATCTATTTAAAGCCTGTAGCCATTAAG